GTTAATGGGGGTTCTGGGCTGTTAATGGGGTTGTGGGGTTATTAATGGGTGGACGGGGGCTATTAATGTGGGTCTGGCCTGTTAATGGGGGTCTGGGCTATTAATGGGGGTCTGGGCTACTAATATGGGATCTGGACTATTAATGAGGGATCTGGGCTGTTAATGTGGGTGTGGGCTGTTAATGGAGTATGCGCTAATAATGGGGGATCTGGGCTATTAATGGAGTCTGGGCTATTAGTGGGGAATATGGGTTATTAATGGGGAATATGGGCTATTAATGGGAGATTTGGGCTATTAACGGGGATCTGGGCTATTAATGAGGGATATGGGCTATTAATGGGAGTTCTGGGCTGTTAATGGGAGTATGGGCTATTAATGGGATAGCTGGGCTATTAATGGAGTCATTAATGGGGGATATGGGCTGTTATTGTGGGGTCTGGGCTATTAATTGAGTCTGAGCCATTAATGGGGGATTCAGGCTATTAATAGGGGATCCGGGCTATTAATGGGGATCTGGGCTATTAATGAGGGATATGGGCTATTAATGGGGTTTCTGGGCTGTTAATGGGGGATCTGGGCTATTAAATGGAGATCTGGGCTATTAATGGAGTCATTAATGGCGGATATTGGCTGTTAATGGGGGATCTGGGCTATTATTTGAGTCTGAGCTCAGAATGGGGGATCTGGGCTATTAATGGGGGGGCTGGGCTGTTAATGGGGGTCTGGGCTATTAATGGGGGGGCTGGGCTGTTAATGGGGGTCTGGGCTGGGGGTCTGGGCTGTTAATGGGGTCTGGGCTATTAATGGGGTCTGGGGGTCTGGGGGGGGCTGGGCTATTAATGGGGGTCTGGGCTATTAATGGGGGGGCTGGGCTATTAGTGGGGGTCTGGGCAATTAATGGGGGGTGTCTCGGCTATTAATGGGGGGGTCTGCTACCCTTCCCTGGAAGTCTTTGGAGATGGCCTGTTTAGATACAGGAGCTCTTTACAGTGACTTCTTTTACCGGATGTTCTGGTTTCATAATTGCTGCTTAGAAAAGCAAACAATATGAATCTTATAAACAACAGTTATGTCCTATAAGGACCATCAATAAAGCTCTCCTCTCTGTGATTCCTTTATTGTGAACAGTCTGGGTAATGATTGTGCTGGGAAAACTGCTATCTAATTTCCTCTCAGTGCACAGAATGTGCCTTTTACAGCTATTCAAAGCTCAGAATGCTCCAATCTCTCACAGGAAGATTAACAGTTTAAACTGCTCTCAAACTGGACCAGCCATCACAGCAAACCGATTGGAAGTCTCAGGACAAACAGGAAAAAATCAAACGGCAACAAGAATATCAGAATGATCCCATCTCCTGATACATTTAATAATAATAATAGTAATAATAATAATAGTAATAATAATAATAATAATAATAATAATAATGTATTTATTGCATCTTCTGATACATTTAATAATAATAATAATAATAATAATAATAATAATAATGTGTTTATTGCATCTCCTGATACATTTAATAATAATAATAATAATAATAATAATAATGTGTTTATTGCATCTTCTGATACATTTAATAATAATAATAATAATAATAATAATAATAATAGTAATATGGTATTTATTGCATCTTCTGATACATATAATAATAATAATAATAATAACTGTATTTATTGCATCTTCTGATACATTTATTATTAATAATAATAATAATAATAATAATAGTAATAATAATAATAATGATAATAATAATGTATTTATTGCATCTTCTGATACATTTAATAATAATAATAATAATAATAATAATAATAATAATAATAATAGTGTATATATTGCATCTTCTGATACATTTATTAATAATAATAATAATAATAATAATAATAATAATGTGTTTATTGCATCTTCTGATACATTTAATAATAATAATAATAATAATAATAATAATAATAATGTGTTTATTGCATCTTCTGATACATTTAATAATAATAATAATAATAATAATAATAATAGTGTATATATTGCATCTTCTGATACATTTATTAATAATAATAATAATAATAGTAATATGGTATTTATTGCATCTTCTGATACATTTAATAATAATAATAATAATAATAACACTGTATTTTATTTCCTTGATACAGCAACTGATAATTATAGATTTATTTTACCTCAGTGATAGAGTAAATGATACTGTAAAGTAATTTAATCTCCCTTATACTGTTAATAATAATAATAATAATAATATCAGTAATAAATATTATTATATAATGTTATATGTATTTATTATCTTGATTCAGTAAATTATAAAGTTATATTTATTTAATCTCTCTGGCTTAATTTTTTAGAATAAAGTTATATTTATTTAATTTCCTGGCATGGTAAAAGGGTGTTTTATTAATTGTTTCTCCCTGGTACTGAAAAGGACAATTTAGCATTTATTTAATTTTCCAGAAACAGTAATAATATATATTAATCTCCCACACATCAATTAATAACGTTATTATTCCATCACCCAATTACTACAAATAATATTTTAATTTATTTCCTAAAATAAAGAAAGGTATGTTTTTATTTATTCAATCTTCCATATACATTGACTATTAATGTTACATTGACATCATCACCCAAAGTTATTAAATATCTGAGCACAATTAGTTATTAAGAAAACGAGCGATAACAGCCATTGCGTGGTGAGAGAGCTTCGTGGATTGACGCAGACTCTTTTCAAATGCGTCAGATGTATGACGCCCAATGCTCATGGTGTTTTACAAGGACGATTTTCAGAGCTGCCGATCTCTGCGGCTTGTGACATTTCTTTCAATATATTGTGATTTTCTGATTGTTACAAATAAATCAATATTAGTTAACTCAACTAATGAATTGATAATATTTCACTATTCTATGGTCCTATAATCATGTCAGTTAACTGACCTGGTGGAATCGAGAAAAAGAAACACAATATCCAGATTTCAATTCTGCAAAATATACAGTTATTTTTTATAGATAAAAACAAAACCGAGACTGACAGAAGAGACTTGGCAGTTAGTTCAGAACTACTGATTTGATTATAACAGAATGACTAAAAATAAATAAATAAAACCACAGGCCAAATGAAAAACCTGCTCTATTACACGTTATCACAACACATTCACAGAAAACCATAACCACATTTCGTGTTTCGTATATTTCTGTAATTTCAGTAGATAGTTATAGATGCAGTGTGTGATTGTGTGTGTGTGTGTGATTGTGTGTGTGTGTGTGTGTGTGTGTGTGTGTGTGTGTGTGTGTGTGTGTGTGTGTGTGTGTGTGTGTGTGTGTGTGTGTGTGTGTGTGTGTCAGTCAGTCAGTCTTTATGTTACTGGATAAGAAAGAATGATTTCTCTGCTAATTGAATCAGTTAGTCTGTATCTGGGGATTCTCAAGGTATAAGAGAGAAATACAATGCTTATGGCTGCATAGCTGGAGCTATGATCGAACTGCATTTTAATCCCATGTGTATATTATTACTGCATACTAATCTTTATTCACTGATCCCAATTCAGCAATATCCTGTCCTTATATCACACATCTCCAGGGATTTCAAACTGCAGATAAATGATTGGAATATCATAGTGAGGCAGGTAACCAGCCCTGTGCTTTAACATCCCTACATGGTATTATTATTATTATTAACCCCTCTATCATGATGTGTACAGTCTAATAATGTATTATATGTGTCAGAATTAAAGTATTTACATTGTATTTCAGTCTCTTACTGTGTTATTATATTATTATTATTAATAATACATGTTATTATATATTATAAATATATGTTATCTACCAAGGACAACTCTGATCATCTAAATATAGCTTTTCTGAACAAATATCCTTATTATTCATTTATTATCTTTGTTATTCTGTGAGATTTCATTGATGCTTTTGTGCTGCTCTATCATATCCTGCAATATACATTGTGTGTTTTATCTGCTAAATCATTTCAGACAGTGCCAGCACCAGCACTATGGACTCACTGGGTAATATGCACAGACAGTGCCAGCACCAGCACTATGGACTCACTGGGTAATATGCACAGACAGTGCCAGCACCAGCACTATGGACTCACTGGGTAATATGCACAGACAGTGCCAGCACCAGCACTATGGACTCACTGGGTAATATGCACAGACAGTGCCAGCACCAGCACTATGGACTCACTGGGTAATATGCACAGACAGTGCCAGCACCAGCACTATGGACTCACTGGGTAATATGCACAGACAGTGCCAGCACCAGCACTATGGACTCACTGGGTAATATGCACAGACAGTGCCAGCACCAGCACTATGGACTCACTGGGTAATATGCACAGACAGTGCCAGCACCAGCACTATGGACTCACTGGGTAATATACACAGACAGTGCCAGCACCAGCAGGGTCTCTAAGGAGAGATGTTATCTGTGACTGCAGAAGGCAGTGGAAGCTGGATAGGACTGTCATGGCTAATCAACGAAAGATTATAAGAGACATAATGTGTAGATGGGAAAATCTTTGGGCTGCAGACATAGGGTGAGGTGAGAATAGACATGGGTAAGGGCAAATAAACATGTATGAGGGCCAAACAGACATGGGTAAGGAACAGACATGGGTTAGAGCCAAACAGACATGGGTAAGGAACAGACATGGGTAAGGGCAAACAGACATGAGTTAGGGACAAACAGACATGAGTGACGGACAAACAGACATCGGTGAGGGACAACCAGACATGGGTAAGGAACAGACATGGGTAAGGGCCAAACAGACATGGGTAAGGAACAGACATGGGTAAGGGCAAACAGACATGGGTAAGGAACAGGCATGGGTAAAGGCAAACAGACATGAGTGAAGGACAAACAGACATCGGTGACGGAAAAACAGGCCTTGGGGGGGGAAACAGACATAAGTGAGGGACAAACAGACATGAGTTAGGGACAAACAGACATGAGTTAGGGACAAACAGACATAGGTGAGGGCCAAACAGACATGAGTGAGGGACAACCAGACATTGGTGAGGGCCAAACAGACATTGGTAAGGGGCAAACAGATAGGAGTGAGCAGCAAACAGGCATGGGTAAGGGGCGAACAGTTGTTTTTTACGCCACTATAACTGCGTTTCAATATCCATAGAGGAGGGTGTGATTTACCAGCTGAGAGAATCTCTCATTATTTTCCTTGGATTAGTGTGTTCTGAAAGGGTTTAGCCTAGGATATGCCCAGTGGTATTGACCTGGCTATAGTTGCCCCCTTGGCACTCTTTGATTTAATGATTAATTTAGCCTGATTTAAATTGTTACTCTCACCCACAAACCGTTACCCTAAACGTTATTTGAACACTAACTGTAACTTCACGTCATGAATGTCCAACTTTACAGTCAGCCCCTAAATCTATTATATTGACCCTAACCGTAACCTTTATTTTCCTTATTCCCAGTACTGTAACCCCAATCCTCAGTGTGACCCTAATTTACCTTACAGAAAAAAAAAATAGTTACGGCGCACTCAGACTTAACTAAGAAGGCTACTATAAAACACCCATCTAAGAGAATAAATATGGGCATTTAGTTCCACCATATGGCCATATGATGTTAAGCCCATCACTGCTTCAAACTACCCCAATGTTAGTGGGTCCTACGCTAATTACAAAATGTGGGAGACAAATTAAATGGTACTGGTGCTTACGGCACCCTGATAAATAAAGCCCATTAATAGACTGCATTAATAGAACATATTAATAGACTGTATTAGACTGCATTAATAGACTGTATTAATAGACTGTATTAGAATATATTAATAGACTGCATTCATAGACTGTATTAGAATGTATTAATAGACTGTATTAGAAATTAGAATGTATTAATAGACTGCATTAATAGACTGTATTAGACTGCATTAATAGACTGTATTAGAATTTATTAATTGACTGTATTAGAATGTATTAATAGACTGCATTAATAGACTGTATTAGAATGTATTAATAGACTGTTTTAGACTGCATTAATAGACTGTATTAATAGACTGTATTAGAACGTATTAAAACGTATTAATAGACTGTATTAGAACGTATTAATAGACTGTATTATAACGTATTAGAACGTATTAATAGACTGCATTAGAATGTTTTAATAGACTGTATTAATAGACTGTATTAGAAAGTATTAAAACGTATTAATAGACTGTATTAATAGAACGTATTAATAGACTGTATTAGAATATATTAATAGACTGTATTAATAGACTGTATTAGAACGTATTAAAACGTATTAATAGACTGTATTAGAACGTATTAAAACGTATTTATAGACTGTATTAGAACGTATTAATAGACTGTATTAGACTGCATTAATAGACTGTATTAGAACGTATTAATAGACTGTGTTAGAATGTATTAATAGACTGTATTAGAACGTATTAATAGACTGTATTAGACTGCATTAATAGACTGTATTAATAGACTGTATTAGAAAGTATTAAAACGTATTAATAGACTGTATTAGAATGTATTAATAGAACGTATTAGACTGCATTAATAGACTGTATTAGACTGCATTAATAGACTGTATTAGAATGTATTAGTAGAACGTATTAGAATGTATTAATAGACTGTATTAATAGACTGTATTAGAACGTATTAAAACGTATTTATAGACTGTATTAGAACGTATTAATAGACTGTATTAGATTGCATTAATAGACTGTATTAGAACGTATTAATAGACTGTATTAGAATGTATTAATAGACTGTATTAGAACGTATTAATAGACTGTATTAGACTGCATTAATAGACTGTATTAATAGACTGTATTAGAAAGTATTAAAATGTATTAATAGATTGTATTAGAATGTATTAATAGAACGTATTAGACTGCATTAATAGACTGTATTAGACTGCATTAATAGACTGTATTAGAATGTATTAGTAGAACGTATTAGAATGTATTAATAGACTGTATTAGAATGTATTAGTAGAACGTATTAGAATGTATTAATAGACTGTATTAGATTGCATTAATAGACTGTATTAGAACGTATTAATAGACTGTATTAGAATGTATTAATAGACTGTATTAGAACGTATTAATAGACTGTATTAGACTGCATTAATAGACTGTATTAATAGACTGTATTAGAAAGTATTAAAACGTATTAATAGATTGTATTAGAATGTATTAATAGAACGTATTAGACTGCATTAATAGACTGTATTAGACTGCATTAATAGACTGTATTAGAATGTATTAGTAGAACGTATTAGAATGTATTAATAGACTGTATTAGACTGTATTAATAGACTGTATTAATAGACTGTATTAATAGACTGTATTAGAACATATTAGACTGTATTAATAGACTGTATTAAAACGTATTAAAACGTATTAGACTGCATTAATAGACTGTATTAATAGACTGTATTAGAACGTATTAATAGAACGTATTAGAATGTATTAACAGAATGTCTGCGGTGACATTACAGAATATGATAAACTGGGGCTGGCTATGCTGAATTCTGATTGATTGTTTCATTACAAACCAGGAAAGTTGTTTAAACTCTGATGTGCCCGAATAACTCGTTTGATTTTTAGGTTTAGACCGCATCTCATTCAGGCAGGACCCTCTTCACCTACTGTTCTTCTATGTCAAACATGCTTTGGCAGAATGAAGGTTGGTCTTGGTTTATCTACCGTACAGTACAGCGCTGAGGAATATGTTGGCGCTTTATAAATAGTTATAACTGTTTAAAAAAGCCTTCGTCCTTAAACCAATGCCCTTTGCTGATCGCCATGATAATGTATGTTTATGGATACTACATTTAAGTCCTATTCTTAGCGCTCTGTATCATTTTGTAACAATGTTTTGTTAAAATCGTTTCTTAACTGCGTTTCCTTCTTGGCATTACGCCATGATTGTGGAACGTGTGCTGATGTTTGCAATTAGCCCTCTCTCTCAACAGTAGCCTGATCACATTTTCTAATGACACCTGGCTGGCCACCGTTGGTATCAGCCTGCGAACAAGCACCATCGCTTGCTAAGATATTTTGTTTGTTTTGGTAAAAGCCCGGTGCTGTGTTATCTTTATTTATGGAGAAATAAAGGCCTCGGTTTAGTATTTTTGCATAAGCTTTTCAAATGATTTTATATTTTGAAAGCGATTTTATTTTTTTGCATTTTTAAATATTAATATATTTTATATGTGATATATTTTTTGTATTCTAATATTTTGAGTTTATCCAAAAATATGAAAACATTTGAAAAGCTGATCCAAAAATGTGAAATCGAAGCCAATATGTTTTATTTTTTTAATGAGTGGAGAATTTTGGAGATTTTCTTTGGCTGGTGACATTGTTCCATTGGCCGGTTCTTGCAGGGTTAACACAACACAGAGGCAAACTGCAAATGTGAGGCAATCACCCTACATATTAGAACATTGCCCAAGATTTGCTCTTGATACAGAACCCCACCAGATCTCTCTACACCATGAGCTCCTCATGCGCTTTTATATCTCCAATAAGATGCAATGTTTCAACTCACATTGTTGCACAAAATGGAAGTTATGTAGAAAAAGTGTAGAGCTCTAAAACAGGTGTTGCAAAGATGTAAAACGTATGGAGGAACCAATGGAATGTGTGAATTGTACATTGAGTTCCACTGGTTTCCATGGTGACTGCATAACTTTTAGCACTTATGCTACTTTTCAGAGAATGTCAATGTTTCTAAATATCCCACATTGTTTATAATTGCAGCTATCGCCATGCGCCACAATGGTTTTCAGTAATGGTACCTTTTTGTACCATCCCCAGTTATTGTAACCGTCACACTGGTGGATTTATTACACAGTGAAATATCAGTCACGAAGCATTGTATGATATGATACAACAAATTAAATAAATAAAAAGGGCAGATTGAACCCTATTGAGTCAGATATTGCAAACACACAATATCCTTTAAACAATAGGAATAAACAAAAAGGTTCTATTGCACTAAAAAAATAGAAGCTATTTGGAATAGTGAAAACATCTGTTTAAAAATGTACAGTTTTTTTGTGGGGTGTCAGCGATTCGCCCCTTGTGTAGAACGAATTCTGCATTTTTCTTCTGCTTACCAAATTTGTATTTCTTAATAAGTGAATATTGGTGAATTTAAAAAAAAGCTAAATTTAGGTCAAATTATTCAGGTTGGAGAAACAGCTAAATTGGGGATCATTTTCCATTGAAAACTTGCAAATCGTGTTTCACTTTAATTCACTGTTTAGTAAATATGCCATGACTCACTTCTTATATGTCATGAGATATGTGCTGGTTTGGTGATGCAGGGAGAGCATGGTACGTTTGGTTGAATCGGGACACATTATTCCCAAGAATCAATGAAACAGGTTTTGTTAATTTATCCAGGAAATGAAAACCTAAGCTCTAAGCCCGCTCCTCACAGATGTCAATCAGACGGACAGAATATGATTTCCTGGGTGATCACTATACACTGACTGGTTCAGGTGCTATACAAACTTACAACAGAATAGGGTGACGCACTTTGAGACACCGTTCTGATATTCCAGGCACCTGATTGGTGTAAGCTATACAACTTCAAGATCTTAAATGGTGAGCACCAATTATTTTATTGTTTCATTATGATCTACGTTGTTTGTTAAAGAAATATCTATGAGCATTTCACCATTATTTCCTTCAAATTTAGTAAAAAGAAAAAGAGTATACTGGGACTAATACTGGGACTAATACTGGAACTAATACTGGGACTAATACTGGGACTAATACTGGGACTAATACTGGAACTAATACTGGGACTAATACTGGGACTAATACTGGAACTAATACTGGGACTAATACTGGAACTAATACTGGGACTAATACTGGGACTAATACTGGAACTAATACTGGGACTAATACTGGGACTAATACTGGAACTAATACTGGGACTAATACTGGGACTAATACTGGAACTAATACTGGGACTAATACTGGGACTAATACTGGAACTAATACTGGGACTAATACTGGGACTAATACTGGAACTAATACTGGGACTAATACTGGGACTAATACTGGAACTAATACTGGGACTAATACTGGAACTAATACTGGGACTAATACTGGGACTAATACTGGAACTAATACTGGGACTAATACTGGAACTAATACTGGGACTAATACTGGAACTAATACTGGGACTAATACTGGGACTAATACTGGAACTAATACTGGAACTAATACTGGGACTAATACTGGGACTAATACTGGAACTAATACTGGGACTAATACTGGGACTAATACTGGAACTAATACTGGGACTAATACTGGGACTAATACTGGAACTAATACTGGGACTAATACTGGAACTAATACTGGGACTAATACTGGGACTAATACTGGAACTAATACTGGGACTAATACTGGAACTAATACTGGGACTAATACTGGGACTAATACTGGAACTAATACTGGAACTAATACTGGGACTAATACTGGAACTAATACTGGGACTAATACTGGGACTAATACTGCAACTAATACTGGGACTAATACTGGGACTAATACTGGAACTAATACTGGGACTAATACTGGGACTAATACTGGAACTAATACTGGGACTAATACTGGGACTAATACTGGAACTAATACTGGGACTAATACTGGAACTAATACTGGGACTAATACTGGGACTAATACTGGAACTAATACTGGGACTAATACTGGAACTAATACTGGGACTAATACTGGGACTAATACTGGACTAATACTGGGACTAATACTGGAACTAATACTGGGACTAATACTGGGAACTAATACTGGGACTAATACTGGGACTAATACTACTAATACTGGGACTAATACTGGGACTAATACTGGAACTAATACTGGGACTAATACTGGAACTAATACTGGGACTAATACTGGGACTAATACTGGGGACTAATACTGGAACTAATACTGGGACTAATACTGGGACTAATACTGGAACTAATACTGGGACTAATACTGGGACTAATACTGGAACTAATACTGGGACTAATACTGGGACTAATACTGGAACTAATACTGGGACTAATACTGGAACTAATACTGGGACTAATACTGGGACTAATACTGGAACTAATACTGGAACTAATACTGGGACTAATACTGGGACTAATACTGGAACTAATACTGGGACTAATACTGGGACTAATACTGGGACTAATACTGGAACTAATACTGGGACTAATACTGGGACTAATACTGGAACTAATACTGGGACTAATACTGGAACTAATACTGGGACTAATACTGGAACTAATACTGGGACTAATACTGGGACTAATACTGGAACTAATACTGGGAACTAACTACTGGGACTAATACTGGAACTAATACTGGAACTAATACTGGGACTAATACTGGGACTAATACTGGAACTAATACTGGAACTAATACTGGGACTAATACTGGAACTAATACTGGGACTAATACTGGGACTAATACTGGAACTAATACTGGGACTAATACTGGAACTAATACTGGGACTAATACTGGGACTAATACTGGGACTAATACTGGGACTAATACTGGAACTAATACTGGGACTAATACTGGGACTAATACTGGACTAATACTGGAACTAATACTGGGACTAATACTGGGACTAATACTGGAACTAATACTGGGACTAATACTGGAACTAATACTGGGACTAATACTGGGACTAATACTGGAACTAATACTGGGACTAATACTGGGACTAATACTGGAACTAATACTGGGACTAATACTGGAACTAATACTGGGACTAATACTGGGACTAATACTGGAACTAATACTGGAACTAATACTGGGACTAATACTGGAACTAATACTGGAACTAATACTGGGACTAATACTGGAACTAATACTGGGACTAATACTGGGACTAATACTGGAACTAATACTGGGACTAATACTGGGACTAATACTGGGACTAATACTGGGACTAATACTGGGACTAATACTGGAACTAATACTGGAACTAATACTGGGACTAATACTGGGACTAATACTGGGACTAATACTGCCTTTACTCTCCACATCCTTTCTAATTCTTCTTTCCGTCCATAGTATTTGTCCATCTTCTTGTGTTCATTCTTCCTGATGTTCTAGTCACTGGGTATTGCCACATCCACCACCAGTGCAGTCTTCCGTTCCTTGTCTACCACCAAGATGTCAGATCGGCTGGCCAGTACTTGCGTGTCTGTCTTAATCTGAAAGTCCAACCGGATCTTAGTCCTATCATTATCAACTACCTTTTGTGGTGTCTCCCATCAGGACTTGGGCAGATCCAGCCCAATACAGCTAAGTGCCTGTTCCTGTGCTGCTAGGATTTCGTAATAGGAGCCACATCCACTATCTGCTGGTAGTAGGCCCTATGGAGAGGTTTGTATTACCATGGAATGGATGGAAATATGCACAGACTTTGTTCAGCTCTCCCATTTGAACATTTGATTAATTGGATGTTCATGTGTCCAATGTCAGGCAAAAAGTAGAGCTAGTTTTTTTTTTTTAAAGGGTTTTGGAGGGGGAGTGCTTTTGTTTTGCTTTTTTATGTTTTTTATTTAAAGAACCACTATAGGTGACTAGGGCTCTATAGCGTTAGGAATACATATTTGTATTCCTAACACTATAGTGTTCCTTTAAATATTGTTTAGAGTACAATAAGCTGGAGCTTCCTTGCAATCTACATGTACATAAAATGCGTTTTATATATAGCTTGTAGGCGATATAAACAACATTTTAAAACAAATTCTTATTTTTTTTATTTTTTTTATTTTTTTTTATTAAATGGATTAATTAAAGATTGTGGGCACTACAAACTGACCTACTTTTTAATCAGTTTTGTAACTTTCATCCACCATTCAGGAGACCAGTTCCTTCTAAGTGGTAACATTTTGGAGATTAGTGAGTAAACGTAATTTAGTAATAGATATTACATTGTAGTTACTTTATTTTGCCATGCTCAGCCAGATCTGGGCTTCATTGATATTGCTAATAAATTGTGTAACTTGGAAATAAGCTGAGGGCAGGGATTAGGGCACAGGCCTTCAGGGGACATTCAATTTCTGTCGATTTGATCAAAACAGGCAGTAGTGCATGGACTGCCCCTTTAAAAAAAAATATATTAGCCTTTTTTATAGAACTTTGGATATTCTAATTACTTTGTATTCAATAACATTTTATGTCCACATAAGCCCATCCTTGCAAGCACGCTGTCTTGGAATGGGGAATCAACCCAAATTTAGATTAGAACCCAAACTACCTTTCCTGGGTCCATTTTCTGAGGGGAAATACATTTAATTTTCAGTAACAGAAATCAAGGAAGGAGCTCTCTGTGCTCACTATAAGAAAGAGGTGCAGCTGGGATTGTACAGATGCCTGGTTTTAGCTAATGAACTGTACTTACTATATGTGGACATTATGGCAAATACAGACATTCTCCATACTTTGTAAATGCATTTTTGGGAAGCAAGGCTCCTAAAATGTCAACATTTCCTTACAAACACTAGGAAGAATGGCATTTGATTCATTTAATTAATGAATCATTTTCATCCTTTCTAAGTGAGATGAAATGGGCTTTTAGATTAAGAATATTGTTTGCACTTGGAACATTTCATGTCTGCACTCTATAAACTATGAATGGAGTTTGAACATACAAATTCACTTAAATGACATTTAGGGGACACTATTACCGATGTTTCAGCATTCCCTGTGTCACTGTCTTATTGGCACATTGATCAGTTCAGGCAATCAGTGTTTACTATAACACAGTATAACTACTAGAGTTGTCTCTGCCTGTGGCCTTGCTCTGGCCTCTCTACAACTTGTATTCAGATAACGTGCCTGGTTCTGTTCCCCTCTCTCCAAACTCAGGAAATGCTCCTCAATGAGGTTTGTGCTACTTCTACAGAAAGCAATGGCAGACACACACTCAGAGCTCGGGTCCCTATTAGATAATTGGCAACTGTCAGGTCCTAAAAAAATCGGAAACTACATTCCTAATAACAGACTGAATAAGCAAAACTGAAAGGAGGGGCTCTTTAAGGTGACAAGAGCTGTGGAGGGCTTGTGTTCAGAGGGGCATTGATTCGAATTGAGCCATTATGTCTCAATCAATGAGTTTTATTGGATTACTGGCTGTTTGCCTTCTCAGAGATGTTTTAGGAGGACAATAGACTGGACAGAGGAAAGTTTGGTTTTTTTCCTTCACTCCTGCAGAGCTGATCTGTTCTTCCAGTGTGTCCCTCTTCCCCTCTCTGTGTTTCTCTCTCTCCCATCACCCCCACACCTCCATCTTCACTCACCATAACCTCATTCCATGCATCCCCCAGACAGGAACAAGGCTTAATGAACATCTTGTCAGGAATCGAAGTATTTGCTGCAGAGGACACAAACCGAGAGCAGAGAATCTAACTGGGGCTGAAACCTACAGAAAAAGGGAAACAGGTCTTTGACTGGCAGCTTCTTGCTTTTCTATCAAATCAAAGAAATTAAACAATCATCAGGAAAAAGCAGCAGCTTGTAATATTTGTTTCCTGCCAAAGTATATCATTTGGAAGAATTCGTCAGAAACACAAGGAATACAACGTACCATAGAAGATATTGCAACAAAAGGCTAATATTGGCCCCTGACACATTCTCAATCATTCTTGTTTAACAAAGAAAGTTGTTGTTTTTGTGTGTTTTTTCCTGTTGAGCAGCCCTGTGATTGTGTCCCTGTCTGTACACTGCACTCACACCAATCATTTCACTTTTCGAGCTGGCTAAACTCTGCTTGATTGGGGACAAGCACACAACCCATCCATTTGTGATCTAATATATTATCCAAACAATTTAGTGTATTCATGAGGTAACCTAAATGTGGAGGCTTCAAAATTACCCCTAATCAATCGAAGCATCTAGTGAGAGAGCCCTCCAAGCCCTCTATAAGTGTAGCTGGATGTCTGGGTAATAATAAGGTAGGCATTAAATCATTGGAGTGCAATGCTTGCTCAGAGTCTACTGGACACATCAAGGCTCCCAGCACATGTATCACTGCTCTCCAGGGTTAAGGGACATTGATTCCTAACAGGCTTCTCCACTCTCATATTTTTTCTTGGTTTGGTTTTAAATATTTTTTGTTTTAACAAGACCCTAATGATCTTTGGATTCCTGGGTCCATCATTGTCCAAGAACCCCTAACCTGCAGGAGCCCCCCATCACAGAGCTGGGACTCTCCTCACCTTGCACTATATGTTTGACAAAGCTCTCAGGATGGACGTTAGGACAAGCTCCAACTCAGAGGAGAGCAGCAGGCTGTCCAAGCCTGGACTCAAGGAGGGCAAGGAGGCAAGGGACCCCCAGGGGAATATTTCCAGTACTTACCTGAAGGAGCAGCAAAGCGGGTACACAGCTCCAGCCTCCTCTGAGGGGTGTCCCAAAAGTAAGGGAGCCCCAGCAGACCCAGACTACTGCAGAAGGATCCTTGTAAGAGGTAACCCCCAATCCTTCGATTCATAATGGGAGAACTTCGAATTTCTTCTTTATTTTAGAATTCTTATATTCCATTCCAAATTACTTTTCCTTTTTTTAATTCATGAGTTTTTTTTCCTCCTCGTTCTATCTGCCATATGTGCTTTACTAACAGCTATTAACTCCAATGAACTGTTCGTATTTAGAATCTGGTGTATTATTTGGGAATCTTTGTTGTTGTTGTTGATTTTCATTTTTCATTTTGATGTTTTTGTTTCGTTTTTTTTTTTCGTTTTGTTTTGGTTTTGTGTATTTTGGGTTTTTATTTAAAACTAAAATTAGCAAATTCGGTTTATATTTGCAAATAAAAAAGACAAATAAAGTATAGATTTATTCATAATAATAATTCAGGATACACATTGTAACACTTTATGGAACCTCGCAGAATAAACCCGCTCTGGCTCCCAATTTACTCAACACATTAAAACAAATGATTTCAGTTTATTTAAAAGATATATTCTTGGATGCATTTAACACTTTGTACATTTAATGTTAATATTTTAAATCATTTTAAAAACACAAAAAAGATCCGATCCGTACAGCGAGTTATTGTAAGATTGGGATATTAGCTGAAGGATTTGTTTTAATGAAATGGATGTAATAATCACAGTCGATATATTTAATATCACATTTGCTCATTGATAAGATTTAGTAGGCGGTGTGTGTACATTTTCTAATACATTTACTTTGCATTTACTCAATAGTTTTAATTTATTGATTGTATAAATAAATGAGAACATTTTAATCTCTGTAATTATCATTAATATCTGTAACACACATTCTACAGGTAAAGTCCATCGATTTCATGTTGGATTCCGTTTATGACAGTATTTATTATTTTATTTATTCCCCGGATCTGTAAATAACAATCTGTGCGAGATACATTATAACATTCACTGTGTGAACTTTTTTGGGGCGAAATGAACTCGATGAAAGTCTGATCTCCACAGCTGATTGATCGACCTGGGAATCAATAAATTGATAAACTGAATTACTGAGGATTTTAGGAAATCCAAATTAAATAAATCAGAATTTGGCGAAGGAGAGTGTGAGAAGGGGGGAGAAAGAGGGAGAGAGGAGGAGGTCATTACTAAGGTAAATAAAGGAATCGAAAACATTTCGATATAAATAAGGCATTTCTTTAGAATATCCAGGTAAATGTACTCTCTATACAAGGTAGCAATGCTCCTTCTGTCACACACAAGAAATCAGTCTATAAGGGGCTTACTTAACTCTGTGTTAACCCTTCCATTACCTATACTGATTGCCTTTACTGTTTACCAGATGCCAAAGGGTCGATCCGGGAAATCATCCTACCGAAAGGCTTGGATCTGGACCGACCCAAAAGGACCAGGACCTCTTTCACAGCAGAGCAGCTGTACAGGTTGGAGATGGAGTTCCAGAGATGTCAGTATGTGGTGGGAAGAGAGAGGACAGAACTGGCCAGGCAGCTCAATCTATCAGAGACTCAGGTACAGTGTGAGTGCACACTCAGGGCTTGTGATGCTTCCTTCAATGAGTACACTGCACGGATTGGGAGGAGATAGCCGTATACCCGGTCACAGAGATCATAGTGGGGAGTCTGTACAAAGATTCATTCTGGGACAAAGTTCGAAAAGTGAAACAACAAGCAAAAACGTTCCATTGTCTCCATGGTGACGGCACCAGTTCAGAACGTTGCCCTGAATGAGTTCTTTATACATAACTTCAGTTTAACCTCTTAAGGACCAAACTTTTGGAATAAAAGGGAATCATGACGTGTCACACATGTCATGTGTCCGTAAGGGGTTAAACAATCAGATGTAACTTTCTATGGACTTTATAGACTTGTAATAACTATTCTCAGGGTTTAAGTCTTAGTATTTGATGATGAGTCTGTGCTGTGGGTGATTGGTGGATTCAGCTCAATGCCTGGGGCAATATTAGCAATTTAACCCTTTAAATTACAGAGAGGGCTCTGCCTGGGGGTGAGCGGTGGTTAGTGTCCCTCACTGCTCTCTCTGGGACTTACCATGAGTTGTGTACTTTAACCCTTTAAACTATAGAGAGAGCTCTGCTTAGGGGGCTTCGTGCCCCTCACTGCTCTCTCTGGGACTTACCTTGAGCTGTGTACTTTAACCATTTAAATTACAGAGAGGGCTCTGCCTGGGGGGGGGGTGGGGGTTAGTGCCCCTCACTGCTATCTCTGGGATTTACCTTGGAGGGCTCTGCTTATCTGGGACTTACCTTACAGGTGGTGATTCCATTTAGTGAGAATCACTAATATTAGGTATTGATATCAATGCAGATCTTTAAAGGGTTTATACCCAGCGACTAATTACAGCTTTAATGCAAATAGATCGAGTAACGCTGTCTGAATGGGACCATCCAGGGGGGTGGGGGTTATATGGGACATTATCGGGATATTTGCTAAAGTGGGATATGTCGGGGATTAACTCAATTTTTAATTTCACAATAAAGTAATTGAATCTGAAAAAACCTCCAAGTTAGATTTTTTTTCGGTTTTACGTTTTTGGCCTAAAATTGGAAACGCGCTTTGCACTCCCGACAGTTCGGAGTTTAGTGAATAAGTCAGGGTTTGTTTTACAGAGTAAACAGCGATCATTTCTCGGGGTTTGTGACAGTTCGCTGCCATAGTGTTTGTTTTCTATTTGTAACGTTCTGTTTACTATTCAGACAAACTTTGTTTACATAGAACTGGTTACTGTATCCTGTCTCCTCGCTCCACAGACACAGATACAATGTTACTACAATGGAAACATATTGTCAATTTACAAACAAACACTGACATTCCATGTTTTATTAATATATTCACTGTAAATGGATTGGAATAAAGGGAATAGAAATTGTGAAACATTAAGATATAATGTTAACAAAAAGCCTCCAGGGCAGTTAAATTCCAAACCAATATTTTCCCTAAATTCTGTAAATTGAGTTTTCGGCTCCCCACGACTCCCTGGATGTAGATAAATGAATAAATATAGATATAAAATAATAAAATAAAGTATCAGTGAGCGGTGTACATGTGCCTAGGTTCGATTTCAGAATTTTACTGATATAATTAAAGCCAATAAAGGTTTTCCCACCATCAGGGTTGAGTCAGGGATGTAAATCTTCATGTCTCATCACCCAGAGATAACATAGATTTCTGGGACCCTGGATAAAGGGGGATTATTAATAATCTGACTGAGAGATACAAATAATAACTATAAAGTACTGACTGACGTTCCTGAATGTTATTAGCGCACACTATGTACCTAGAATACCGCCTGCGGGGTTACTTATTAAAGTGAGACTTGCAAATTCATTCAAAGTGACAATTAAGGTAAAAATAATCGAGCTGGAAAAATTATCTGAAGTCGGTCCATTCGGCTTCTCTGGTCTCAAATAGGAAATTCACCCGAATTCACCCCGATTTCTCGCGGTCTGTCCGGGATATTTACTAAACTGAGAATTCGAAGTGAATTTAAATGTTGAGACCAGAGTCCCTGGTATTTTAATCCCTGTTCAGATTTCAGAACCCGAATATCACTCATAGAGAAAATATTAACCATTCCCATAACTCTCAGCTTGTATTATGCTGCCATGAATCAGGAAATACCTTATTATTCCCACTACCCTCAGCTTGGACTGAGGCGGACATGTGTCAGAGTATAATCATATTAATGATAATAATCTCAGCCTATTTTATTCTGCGACATGTCTGCATTTAATCCATCATTCACATCAACCTTAGCCTGTTTGATCCTGCCAGACTGGTCTAAATCCCATTACCAGATGGATACAGACTATCATTCCCATCACCCTCAGCCTGTTTGATCCTGCCAGACTGGTCTAAATCCCATTACCAGATGGATACAGACTATCATTCACATCAACCTTAGCCTGTTTGATCCTGCCAGACTGGTCTAAATCCCATTACCAGATGGATACAGACTATCATTCCCATCACCCTCAGCCTGTTTGATCCTGCCAGACTGGTCTAAATCCCATTACCAGATGGATACAGACTATCATTCCCATCACCCTCAGCCTGTTTGATCCCAACAGACTGGTCTAAATCCCATTACCAGATGGATACAGACTATCATTCCCATCACCCTCAGCCTGCTTGATCCTGCCAGACTGGTCTAAATCCCATTACCAGATGGATACAGACTATCATTCCCATCACCCTCAGCCTGTTTTATGTCACAATAGCTCTCTAGCCAGTAGTCCAGTTATGGCTGATCAAGTACAGCAGGGGATGAATACCAATTCCCATGACTTTAAGTCAGCCTTTGTTATGATGAGGAATGCAGTCACCTACCCAAGCAGACCTACGGTTTCGCTATCTCACAGGAATTCTTCTCAGTTCACTAAATATTCCCTTTATAAAAGCGATTCCTTCCAGGGAAATAGACGGTGAATACGTTTTATTTCCTGGGAAAAGCTGAGTTTTTTGCCTGAACCATAAGGATGTAGCTGATTACAAGAAAAGCCTTTTCAGTTTCATTGCGCAGAATGTTTTTATTCTTTATACAAGGTCACAATTCAGGTTCATTTCTTAATGAAATTAAAGCAATAAGCTGCCAGAGTAGTAATGCCAGATGGGTCTAGGATGGGATAAATACACTGCATGAAAGAGACTCATATATAGTGTGTGATTTCCATGTGTCTAATCCTGAATAGAAACAGCGCTTGGATTAAATAGAGTGAGCTAATTAATTTATTATTATACATTTATATATAATTATTCATATCTGTCTGTCTATCTGTCTGTCTATCAATCTCTGTCTGTCTTTGTATCTGTCAGTCTATCTAGCTATGTCTTTCTGTCTATCTATCTATCTATCTATCTATCTATCTATCTATCTATCTATCTATCTATCTATGTCTGTCTTTGTGTCTGTCAGTCTGTCTATCTATGTCTTTCTGTATGTCTGCCTGTC